GTATTTACACGGCAATATCTTATTCTAAACTATCCATTTCTTCATATTTCAGGCAGATCTTAGAAACAGCAAGGTGGACCTTCTCTTGGCCTGACCACCTCTGATTTTTGAGTATTCAGATCTACTCTGTTGAACTGACTGTATAGTCAGTCACTGCCTACACATGGCTATCAAAATTCAACTAAGATTTCAAAAGTTTAATTTGAAATTTTAAGTTCGGGCCTAGACAGCTCTCCATAGCCAAGTATGAGCACTGGCTATTGTTTTGAATAGCAAAACACAGAACGGTTCCACACAGCAGAGCTTCCGTTCCTACCACGACCCTGAAGCCTCCTTGGACCCCACGTGGGTGCAGAGACCCAAGAACTGCAGCCACCCTCCTCTGTGTTTCCAGGCAGTAAGCAGGGAGATGGATCAGAAGTGGAGCAACTGGCACTTGAAGCAGTGCCCACCGTATGCCAGCACCACAGGTGGAAGCTTAGCCTACTGCACACAGCTCTGGGCCCGTCTACCATTAACGTAAACATCTAAATGGTTTAAGTAGATCATCTTGCTATGGTTTTATATTTATTCTACCTGGATTTTACCCACTTTTCCTTTTTTGGTATGCCTCTTATTAGACTTAAAACATTTTGATGCATTTACATTTGATCTTCACTAGTGGCTTCTAACCTGTCATTTTGATCAACAAAGGCTGCTCTAGGGTAGCCTGTGGTTTTCTACTGGGAGATATTTAGCCAACTGTAGATGCTTGGCAAAGATCGGGCACACTTTGTGCCAACCTGTGGGGCACGGGGGTGAGGCCAGAGGCCAGAGATGCTGCCCAGCAGCCTACAACGTCCAGGACTCCTCCTCCCGACAGCCAGGCTGGGCTCTCCGCTCTGGAGCTCACCGCGTGGGTCTGTGACCTACCCCAACACCAACAGGATCACATCACACAAGATAAGCATTGTAGTAGCGCTCCCTTCCCTCCTCCCAGCGTCCTCAGTGCTGCGAGGCTGAGTCTGCAGCAACCTAACCAAGACAACACAGTGTCAGGATTAATGTAACAGATGCCAAGCTCGGAACCTGAACACTACAGGCGCTAACTTCTCAGCAGGTCACTACCCTAACCACGAACACCAAAGATTTCAACTCATCTGGAAAAGCAGCGGAAAGACGGACCTGAAGAGGACACCAGTGCCCACACTTGGTTCAACTCTGCTCCAGCTCTCCTCCCCCAAGCGGGAGGGCGAGACTGCCCCCTGCTGGACTAGTTGGTAAAACAGGACTCGGCAGAGAATTTCAAGAATCCTGTGGCCTCTGATATATAATCCCTTTTATTTACCTCCACTTAATTGAAGACATCTGTAAGTGGTGCCACACAGAATGTAATTCAGACTTGGAAATGTCAATAAAAACGTCTTTAAGGCAGAGGTCCGATGTAAACCTAGCAGGGGAGGGCACGGCAGCAGCTAGAGCCCAGGACGCCGGGAGTAGAATGGAACTGCGTGGCCCAGCCTGACGAGGTGATAAAAGCTCTTTTCCCATAAAGCTTAATGAGCTCTATTAGTCTTCAGCTTACAGGAATGTAAAAGGGTCAGCCCCACAGAGGGGAGCCACGATTCCCCACACATGGTCCATTCAAATACAACGTATCAAATTACTGATGTAATTACTATAACCTGACAATTTCATTAGATTCATGTGGCAGTTAACTGTTTAGGACTTAGAACAAAGGAACGTGATTCATTCATAGCAGCTTAATTTCAGCTGCGAGTCTCGTGTATTTCACTGTCTCCGCCAGAATTACTTTTCTTTTATTCAAATTAGAAAAGGTGTTGGCTGCTGACCATATTTGTAATTTTCCTTCGCCCACCAAGCCATAAGCTTCCTGTGGCAATGGAACACAGAGCCAGGGGCCCTCTGCCTGCTCTGCACTCTGGCTGGCGGGGATGCGGCGCAGAGCCTCCGGAGACGGGGTCTGCCAGGGCAGTGCGCCCCAAGACACTCCCAGCAAGAACGACAGCAACCGAAAAGCATCAAGGAAAATGACAATATTCACCTTGGATTTCAGTCATCTTCCTCCCCCGTGTCTATTAGGAGAACAAAAAGCATCAACTTAGCCAAGTAGCCATCAGAGGCCACTTCACTCCAAATTATTACATGAGATTAAGTCAGACAAAAAGTAACAGAAATTATCACTTAACTTTGATCACCACTCTTACTCTTCAACTTTTTACCAAAGACAAAGCTTTTACACCATATTCTCGGTGTAATACACTGCATTACATACTGTATAATATATGGACCAGAATGGTATTTAAAAATCAATATATTTGGTTCAAGGTGGGTGGAGCTGGGACAGGTCCCAAGCCTCGGTCCCACCAACTTGCTCATTAACTTCTTCATTCATTCATTAAACAAGTCTTTGCTATGTCGCAGCATCCACTACAGGCGACCAGTATATACCCAGAATAGCAAGTCAAGGAGCCGAGAACCCCACAGCGAGGGTTCGGTGGCACTGAGTGCCAATCGCCAGCACCCTAGGAGACAGCAGGTGCGGCAGGCTACGCCGCTGCTGAGCCTGACTGCAGTTAAGCCCACTCCTCATTTCCGGCATTTCAATCTGACTGCATCAGGACACAGCTCCCCGCGGGAGTCAAACAGCACCAGGATGTTTTAATTATAAAAGACCATTTTATTAAGTATAATAATCTTTTTGTCAAACTATATATTTTCCCAAACTATATTTTGTTGCTCAGCAGCAAGAAAAGGTCAGACGATCACGACAAGCCTGGCAGGCCCGGCCTGCGGTCACGAACTTGGAGCTCATGAGTATCTGCTATGTCACAAGATAAAAGGACGCCGACTTCAGTTCAAAGAGTGCTTACACACACAGAACTTTACCTACCAATTTAGTATTCTCACCCTCTCTCTGTGATATTTCCCAGTTCTGCTGTGGACAGAACACACTTCCTTAACTAAAGAGCAAGTTACAGGGACTGGCACTGTGGCACAGTGGATTAAACTGCTGTGCAGGCCCGCATCCCAGGCAGGCACTGGTTCAAGCCCCAGCTGCTTCACTTCTCACCCAGCCTCTTGCTAATATGTCTGGAAAACTAGCACAGTTCAGCCCAGGCCCCTGAGCCCTGGAAGCCCTGGAGGAGACCCTCAGTCTCTCCCCGCAGCCTCTCCCTGCAGGCCGATCCGCACCCAGCCCGAGCCAGCCAACGCGGACGCTGGGGAACGGACCGCAGGACAGAAATCAATCAATCACTCTTTCTGAATGTCCACCTGCCTTTCAAATAAATAAATAAATAAATAAATAAATAAATAAATAAATCTTGGGGGAAAGCAAAAGATTCTTAGACTCATGTCATCTGCAAGTTTCTTACAGTTTAGTTTTTCCCTTATATCTAACTCTTATTCAAAATTCTATGTGTCAGGCATTGGGATTCATGTCTGCCACAAATCATTCCACCTCAATAAGTCTTTAGGTATTATTATCTCCATTTTTAGATTAGAAACCAGCAGCACAGAAGGATGACATGACATGCGCACGACGAGCATGTCTCCAGCAGTGGCTCCACGACGGACCGGATCAGGCCGGCACCAGGCGCTCTGCTCTGGGCAGCTCCACCTACGAGCGTGCAATGTGCCAGGACAGGCCAAGCCACAGAACAAGCGGTGTGGGAGATGCAGGACAGGGACTGGCAGCGTTCTGGAGAGATCAAAGACCATCTCACAGAGGGTGCTGCAACCGAGGCTGGCCCGGAGCAGGACACGGCCAGCACGGACATGGAGAGCTGGACAAAGGGAAAGACAGGCAAGATGCGAGGAGCAAGTCTAGACGTGCAGCCCAAACCAGCGGACGGAAGATCTCTCTCCTTCTCTCCACAAATCTGCCTTTTCAATAAAAATACATCTTCAAAAAAACAAAGTGCAACCCAAGAGAACACCCAGGACCACCAGCATTAAACATCACAGCTTCTAACTATTTCCATTCACGCTTGTCCCATCTGTAAAGTAAAAAGTATTACTGCACAAGGAAAGTGACTTGCCCAGCTTCCTGGGGAGGGGGCGGTGGCTCGGGGAAGATGGATGCCGGCATTCACGCCCATTCCCAGCACAGCCTCCGCCTGCACACACGTGACCTCCACCTTCACACACGCCACCTTCACACGCAGCCTCCACCTTCACACACGCAGCCTCCACCTTCACACACGCAGCCTCCGCCTTCACACACGCAGCCTCCGCCTTCACACAGCCTCCGCCTTCACACATATGACCTCTGCCTTCACACACACAGCCTCCACCTTCACACACACCACCTTCACACGCAGCCTCTGCCTTCACACACGTGACCTCCACCTTCACACACATGACCTCTGCCTTCACACACACCACCTTCACACATGTGGCCTCCAGCTTCACACTCACGCAGCCTCTGCCTTCACACACACCACCTCGCCTTCTCTCCAAGTAACCTTGGGAGTTTCTGTTACACCTTACACTGATACCTGATTCTCCAATGTCTTGAAGTTCTTATTTTTCTCACAACTTTATTACTAGATTTCAACTTGTCCAGTCAGCAAACAGAGCATCTAAAATACAAGCTCAGCCAGGCCACACTCACGGCTCTGCTCTGAGTGGGCCACAGTCTCTCTCTGGAACCAGCACAAGTTTCCTCGCCTATAATCTCTCAGTTCCCCTTTAATTCTGGACAATTGACAGAAAATCAGGGGATCTCAAATGAATACCTGAGGGAGTAACAGAGATGTGACAAGTTTGATTTTATTCTAGTTAGTGGAGAAAAAGGGGGGACAACATCAGGTACGTGTGTTTATACCCTGACCTTGTAGGAAAGTGCCCCCCAGATGTATTCATCCATTAGTTATTAAAGAAGATTGTTAAGCCAAACTGACCACCACTAAGTTAGCAAATAAATGCTGAAAGACACCAACAGTGAGGTTCAGTTAGTAAAATCCCAGGGTCAAGGTCAATGAACAAACTCTTACCTCCAACGGTGAACTGCAAAGGAACCTCGTGAACTGCGAGTCAAATGGGAAGTCAGTCATCCGACAAACAGGTAGCAAGAGAGAACACACAGAAAAAGAATAATCATTACATAATCTTCCAATAAGAACATCGAAAACAAATCCAAAGATCTATCCAAAGTTAAGGATTTCACATATTGTAAAATTTATCCAGATTACAGAAAGGTTCAAGTTAATCCACAGTAGATACTGTATTTCAATTTGTTTAAATAAACATTCTTTCACACTCTTTCCTAAAAACAAAGAAACAGCTCATCTAGATTTCAGTATTATTTCATAACTCCTAAATAAGAAAAATACCATCTAAGGAAGGAATGCTCAGCCTTCTTGGCCCCATGCGCCAGGAACACAGTTTACCAAATACTGAAAGACAACAGCACAAAACAGGGCAGAACCAAGGACAGAGTCACAGGGGGAAGGGAGGGGGCGGGGAGAGCGAGAAGGGACGCAACAGCCCCCCAGTGCGGCCCCCAACCCCCCAGCAGTCACAGGGGGAAGGGAGGGGGCGGGGAGAGCGAGAAGGGATGCAACAGCCCCCACGCCCGCCCCCGCCAGCAGTGGCAGCCTGGTGCCGTCACTCTCTCCCCTCCCTCTCCTTTACTGTCCTGGGCTGTCTGACACGGAGGTTTGGCATGACCCTGAAGTTAACGGTGCCAAGCCTGCCTCGCAGCAGCTACCCAGCGAAGCCACCAGGAGGGTGTAAGTAAATGACAACTCAGGGTGTGGGTGAGCTCTGCAACGAGCAAGCAGACACTTCGTTCACACACCAAGATGGCAGCTCCAGACGGTTCCACACGTGGCATTTACAGGAGCAACTTTCTAATAATCTAATAATTAAATATCCAAGAATATAAATTCCTGATCTTTCTTAATGCAAACTATTTACAATAAAATGCAAACATCGCTATCTCCAAGCACTAACCTCTCTACAAAGCTTGCCGGAAGGGCACAAATAATCTACATTGTCTCTCTCAGACATACACATTGTCTCTCTCAGGCATACACATTGTCTCTCTCAGGCATACACTTACACAAATGAAATTGTGATATCTGAAATTTCCTTGCAGATTAACACAGTGACGGGGCGAGGGGACTGTGAGAGGAGCGTCTAGAAACAAAGTTTAGTCATGATATTTGATGAGAACACAAGAATTCACCACATGACTGCTTTGTAAGGGTTTTTAAAAACTCTTTACATTCACAAATTTGAGAGAAATCTAAGTTTTCTAAAAAAAAAAGTTAAAGACACGAAGTGAACCAGAGTGAGCCATGCGTATCAGCGCGTGCAACAGCTGTGCCCAGACCACAGGACACACTACAGACCACACAGACTTTAAAATTCAAATATCAATATGAAATTTAATTATATTCATTGTTAACAGAACTTTCTGAAAGTGCAAGATACGATAAAATATTTTTATGATGTTGACATGAACCAAACAAGTTTACTGAAACCGCCATCCGCGTCCCGGGTCTCCGACCTGGCATGCGGTGGCATCCCCTGGAGTCGGGACCAGCCGCTGGCAGACCGGCCGAGTCCAGAGCACGAAAACCAGGCGCTAGGTCAGATTCTGACCTTCTGCAGGCTTCTGCAATTTCACCGCAAGTGCATGCCGACTATTACACAAATCTGTAAGTGACTCAGAATCTGTAGTAATAAATGCATTACTTAGGATATAGGATACTGTAAATAAGTAAACAAAAAATGGCAGCACTTCAGGAAAACGCATAAAAAAAAAACTATTAAAAGAAAAGCTTATTTTGGAACAAAAAAACATCTTGAAATCCATGTGATAAATCACTCACTGGTCAGAAGACTACCCTTGTCCTGAAGCTGCCATGCTTCACACCTTGGTGTGTGGGCGTGTAACACGCCTGTGCGCTCCCTGGTGTGTGGGCGTGTAACACGCCTGTGCGCTCCCTGGTGTGTGGGCGTGTAACACGCCTGTGCGCTCATTGGTGTGTGGGTGTGTAACACGCCTGTGCGCTCCCTGGTGTGTGGGCGTGTAACACGCCTGTGCGCTCCCTGGTGTGTGGGCGTGTAACACGCCTGTGCGCTCCCTGGTGTGTGGGCGTGTAACACGCCTGTGCGCTCCCTGGTGTGTGGGCGTGTAACACGCCTGTGCGCTCATTGGTGTGTGGGTGTGTAACACGCCTGTGCGCTCCCTGGTGTGTGGGCGTGTAACACGCCTGTGCGCTCCCTGGTGTGTGGGCGTGTAACACGCCTGTGCGCTCCCTGGTGTGTGGGCGTGTAACACGCCTGTGCGCTCATTGGTGTGTGGGTGTGTAACACGCCTGTGCGCTCCCTGGTGTGTGGGCGTGTAACACGCCTGTGCGCTCATTGGTGTGTGGGCGTGTAACACGCCTGTGCACTCATTGGTGTGTTGGTGTGTAACACACACACTCCCTGGTGTGTGCACATGTAACATGTCACAGCATTTCAAGACAGACCTAAACCACTGCCGTTCCCTTTGACTGCCAAAGGGGAAAACGGTCTTTTTTTGTTTTCCAAAGCAATAAAATAATAAAGTTAGAAGACACAATCACATTGCTATCACCACCAAAACTGTTCATGTTCCAATTCACTAATCACTTAATAAATCTTCCCTAATGAAATTAACAAATACCATCATGGTATCTGAGTAGTGTAAGGAAAACTTATGGTTCAGTTTAGTTGTGACGTATACTACTACTAAAATAAAGTCATTTTTTTTATAAAAAGAAACACTACAGCAACAGCCAGAGCCACTATTAATATCTTAATATCATTTTTCCAACAACACTATAGAATAAATGCGTGTGTGGGGCATTTGTGCTGGTGGTTTAAAGGCCACATCTCCTGTCTGGGAGCCTGGGTCAGTGTGCATCTCTGGGTCCAGGAGGCACTTCCCTGTCAATGCAGATGGCAGCAAGCATGAGTGATGACTCAGCGACCACAGGGGAGGCGTGGGGCAAGACCCCGGATGGCCTCACTGTGACCTCAGCTACCCCTCTGCTGACCTCACTGTGACATCACTACTGACCTGTGATCTCACTGTCAGCGTCACTGCTGACCTCACCATGACCTCACCATGACCTCACAGCTGACCTCTACTAGGGGTCACAGGGGCATCTGGGGAGTGATCGAGCTGATGGAGGCTCACTCTTTGTCTCTCAAACGAATTCAAAGAAATAATTATCACAGTTAATGATTAAGAGTCTAGTCTAGATATCCAGATAAAATGTTGTTGAGAAAACAGACTAATACTGCACCAAAAACTTTACAACTTAACAGACAAGAAAGTCATGCATAAGATTAGTTTTAGGAAGTTTGTTTTTTTTAGACTTATTTATTTATTGGAAAATCAGATATACAGAGAGAAGGAGAGACAGAGATGAAGATCCTCCATCCGAACACCCACCCCCCAAATTAGCGCAATGGCCGATGCTATGCCAATCCGAAGCCAGGATCCAGGAACCTCTCCCAGGTCTCCCACACAGGTGCAGGGCCCCAAAGCTTTTGGGCCATCCTCGACTGCTTTCCCAGGCCACAAGCAGGGAGCTGGATGGGAAGTGGAGCCGCCGGGACCTGAACCGGCGCCCACATGGGATCCCGGCGTGTCCAAGGTGAGAACCCCAGCCGCTAGGCCCGCGTTTGATTCACCATCATTGAAAACAGGAGCAACCTGCCTGGCATTACTAACATGAAACTTACATATTTAACATTATCATTTGATACTCTTGACAAAATATTCATAAAAACTGTCAACTATTATGTTTGTAATACATCTAAGGTTTATGTAGTTATCTGAAAAGGAGAGAGTAACAAGAAAGAGCATGAGTGAGCTTCAAGTAGCCGGCTAACTGCCCACAGCTCCTGGGCGCGGGCCAGCTCGGGCAGGTCAGGAACTCCAGCCTCTCACCAGGGTGCAAGGACCCCTGTGCTCAGGCCAACACCCTACCTGCCCAGGATGAGAAGTCAACGGAGACCAACCGGAATCACAGGCAGGACCACTCAGTCCCGTGGACTTCAACACAAGATGGTGGTGTCCCAAGTCTTGAAGTTTTTTTTGTTTTTTTTTTGTTTGTTTTTCTTTCTCTGAGCACAAGAAGTCTGCTCTATATTTAGAACCAAGGCATAAAAGGCATCAGGGTCTCTTGTTAAAATCCTGAATCTCGGGCCTGGCGAGATAGCGCAGTGGTTAAGGTCCTTGCCTTGCATGCCCGGGATCCCATATGGGTGCTGCTTCTAATCCCAGCAGCCCCGCTTCCCATCCAGCTCCCTGCCTGTGGCCCGGGAAAACCCTGCACCCACGTGGGAGATGTGGAAGAGGCTCGTGGCTTCGGATCAGCATAGCATCGGCCGTTGTGCTCACTTGGGGAGTGAATCATCGGACAGAAGATCTTCCTCTCTGTCTCTCCTGTGTATCTGCCTTTCCAATAAAAATAAAATAAATCTTTAAAAAAAAATCCTGAGTCTCACAGAAATACACGTGGGTGTGTGCTTGTGCTGCTCACCTTCTGACTGGCCCTGCTGCTTCCACTTTTTCCCCCATTCAAAATTAGCTTAACGAACTACGCGCGCACAAAAGGGACTCGGGCCCGGCGCTGTAGCACAGCCAGTTAAGCCATGACCTGTGCACCAGCATGTCTTTTGCGTGTCGGTTCAAGCCTAGCCACTCCACATCCCATTCGGCTCTCGGATATGAGCCTGGGAAAGCAGCTTACCCAGATCCGTAAGTCACTGCACCCCCCATGGGATTCCCAGAAGAAGCTGCCTCCTGGCTTCGATCGGGCCCAGCCCGGCTGCTGTAAGCCACTTGGGAAGGAAACTATTGGACAGAAGTGCTCTGTTTTCTCTCTCTCTCTTTCTCTAACTTGCCTTTGAAAGAAAAAAAGAAAACAAGGGAAGGAAAAAAAGAGAAAAGGACTAGGAGAATTGCTGGGGCAGCACATGGCTCAACTGGTTAATCTCCAACCTACAAGTACCAACATCCCACATCAGCACTGGCTCA